CAAATGAGTTTTTGCTCAAAGTCTGCAACTCTTCTCTGCATCAGCTCAAAGCAGCAAGTTGTCTGTAAATGTGTCTGATCATCTCATTGTCCCTGATCACCCGCCAGTCTGTGAAAGATGGAGTTATCAGCTTGGCAGAGAGACACGGGACTGTCAAACTCCACCACCTTCCCAGCATGCATCACTAGCACACGGTCACAGTCCATGATGGTGTTGATCCTGATGTGAGACAGGCACACAAAACACAAAAAGGTGTTTCGTTCAGAAAATAAAAAGCAGGAAGTTTTAGACTACAGTTGTAAAATAACATTCTGAAATGTGTTTTAGTGCAGGAACACATGCAGTCACCTGTGGGCAATAGTGAGCACAGTCTTGTCCTGAAACTTCTCTCTAATGGTCTGCTGCAGGAGTTTGTCTGTCTTATGATCCACGCTGGCTGTGGCTTCATCAATACACAGGACCTAAATGACAACAAAACATTTATTGGAAAAATGTTTTGGTTTATTTGTTTGAGCAATCACGCTAAAATATTTTGTTCTCAGTAAATAGAAATAAATAAATGTCTGGAAATACAAGGTTAGTCAGTCTTCTTTCCAAATGTAGAAGCATAACATTTACAAAGCTTTTGCAAATACCTTCTCCTGCACACAGTCTCTTACAACCTACTTCCTTGTGAACAGGCGAAGGCGTGTCACATAATTAGAGCTAATCAAACCTGTACAGTTTGTTCTTTGTTTACAGCCTCATACTGTCACTTATGTCACAGAGAAAGCCACAGACTATTTTTCACCCTTTATTGTAATTCTGTTGCACCCTCTCACCATCAGTGTCAGTCACTCGAGAGAAAATTTACTGTCTCTGACAATGTTCGGTCGGTACAGTGTAATGGTGAAGATGCAAAACTCACCTTGGCTTGCGTCAACAGAGCTCTGGCCAAACACAGCAGCTGCTTCTGTCCTGCAGAGAAGAATCTTCCTCTTTCTCCCACCTCAGCATCCAGACCACCTGACAGTCACGAAAACATACACAAAAGGCATGAGAGGCGGCATGAATCTGTCATCATCTACATCTTCATGTAGATGATCTTCATGGAGTAGCAGCTCCATTTCATGCAAATTTGAAGCTTTATTTTAGGCCCATAAAGTAAACAGGATTAATACAAAGATCACAGAGGAGGAAAGAGAATGATAATGATGTTAGGTTCTGAAACACAGTCATCAATTATCAAAGTATGTTTGCCAGTCAGTGGATCCTTAGATTTATTCTGTGGTACAAAAAAATACTTTCGATCATCCAGCGTGTTGACTCAAGAACCATTTTCCCAGTGCAAGTAGGTAAGAACCACTTTGTAACCGAAGCAGACAGTCATGTGAGCAGACAGGAATGGAAAAGGGTGGCGTCAAAGGTGTCAAGCAGACACACCTTTGTAACAAAAAAGACAAAACACTGCAATTGTTCTGCTCTCTGTTAAATCACTGGGTCAAGCACACTTTTGTAAATAACTCTCACCCATTCTGCTGACCACAGGGCTGAGGTGGCACTGCTCCAGGACGTCCAGCAGCTCCGGCTCCAAGTGTCGCCCACAGGGGTCCAGATTCTCTCTGACTGTGCCACTGAAAAGGAAGGGGTCCTGAGGAATAATGGCCAACCTGGACCTGCAGAGGGCAACGACAGCACATAAGTCAACTTGTCTCCCACTGATTTTATTATATTATAAAGTACATTATGTTAGATCACAGTTTTCATGTAACTCTTATCCAATACCAATAAACAACTCAATTCAAATGTACCTGAGTTGAACTAGGCCCACGGTGGTAATATCCAGCTGATCCAGGAGAATCTGACCCTGGCTGAGCTCCACCATCCGAAACAGGGCCAAGAATATCGTGGACTTGCCAGATCCTGTACGTCCCACAATGCCTATTTTCTCTCCAGGTCGCACCATGAGGCTCACTCCATCCAGGGCATTGGGAAGACCATCCCTGTAGGTCAAAGCCACATTCCGAAACTCCAAACAACCGTGCTCAGGCCACGAGGGGGACAGCTGATGTCAGAAACAGAGAGGGTAAAATGCAAATAGTACTCCAAGAAATTTAAAACGTGTGGCTGAGTCCATAAACACGTTAGAAAACACACTTGATTTATGGTATCATAAAAAAAGGGCCGTTTTCCATAGATTTCTTTACAACAACCCATATTTTTTTAAAGCAGAGAGACTGCCCCCTGCTGGGCAATAGAAAAATATACACATTAAAGTACTTTGTGTTGGCTTTTGTTTCAATTGACAAAAAAAAAGATGCCACATCCATCTTTATTTAAATATGTAAATAGGTGTACAAATGTTTACATATGTTATTAATATATGTAAATTGTGTCTTGTGATCTTTTCCTCTGACTTTCAGGTTTGGACTAAAAAGTAAGATACACTCTGTGAAGACAGCTGTGAGGTAAAGCCAGGAGCTCTGATAAAGCTTTAGTGTAACCCACTGTTGTTATGTTAATATCAATATCCAGCACCCGACCTTTGTATTCTGATGCTGTGGTTCAATGGGCAGTCCAGTGGAATATTCCTCTGTTCGCTCCACGCTCACCAGCTGCATTTCAGTCTGCGTGAAGCTGAATATGAGGCCAGATAGCAGCTGTGTGATAGACAAAGCGTAGGACAGGGACAAACCCACCAGACCTGATAGGAAAACCGGCACACAGAGTCTTACTTAATGGCTCCTACGGTCATTAAACACGCACAGCCTGCAAATTCTTCTGCTGTCTTACCTGGATCAACAGAATTAAGCTGGTGCTGAACAACAGCTATCACCCCAAGGCCTGTCACCACAGCGATACCAATCAGCTGCAGACGGATGTCCAGCCACTGCCCTGCAGCGTAGCTAAGAAACAAACAGCGTTGGTTCTGCTCCAAACGCCTGGCGTTCTCCTCCTCAAACCTGAAACAGCAGAAAAATGTCCC